CTAGTGCATCCGATAAGGAAGCCAAATTTAGGACGAGAGAGAGCCTTGAGAGTATATTTGCTGGTTGTTCTTCTATGTATATATATATATATAGTTTGAGGAAAAAATGGTGGTGAACCACATTGCTTTGTGGTGCATGAAAGACAGGATTTTTATCTAGTACAATAATGCCTTGATTATTGCAATGTATATTGATTGGTAAAGAAGGGAGATTGGAGAGTATTTTAATGTTTGTATATTGAAGAGGAATAATCTTGTTAGGAGCTAAGTTGATTTTAAGAAATAAATGATAGTGCAATGAGAAAAGAGTAGGTATTCAGATTCAATAGATGATCTTGAAGTTGTTGGTTGGCATTGCTATTCTATATGATAGGATTTTCCTTTGAAAGCAAAGAAATAGCTATCCATGGAGCAAAGAAATAACTATCCACAAGTGGTTAGATAGGTAGTTCAATGCAATAATATAATTTTGGATCAATTGTAAGAGAAAAAGAATTAATTCCAAGACTAGTTCTTGTTGGAAGTAGAGTGAATGTTAGCTTCCATTTATCTATATAAAACTCAAATAAAATTACTTAACTATAGCTCTGCTAATGCATAGTAATACTAAGGGCATTGGTTTTAAATTCAATTCATACATAATGTTTAACAATTAATTGTTTAAGTATTATTAAATGACAACTTTTAGTATCGTCATTTTTAAAGTTTTGTTTTGGATGATGAAGAAATCATTAATGTGCATTAAAAATAAGATAATTGAATTCTATTTTGATAAAAATATAAATTTAGGTGTGATGAGCTCCTTATCAACCAAGTTTGTATGAAAGAGTGTCTAATATTTCATACCATGCTTTTGCAGATTATTTTAGTCCATAAATAGAATTTGAGAGAAGACATACTAGATCTTCTTTGTTGGAGATTATAAATTAAAGAAGCTACTTCATAAATATGTATTTAATCAATTTACTATTTAAAAAAATATTGACATCTACATGAGTTAGTTTCTATCTTTTAGTAGCAACAATGGCTATAATAGTCTATAAAATCAACTACTTGATTACTAAAGCAAATATTTCAAAGAAGTTGATTCTATGTTCTTAATAATCTTCTTGTGCAATTAAGTGTTTTTTTAGTCTAGTAAGAATTGAATTGAATTGAATTGATTGGTTTCCTTTTGAATATCCACTTATAAGATATTGCTTGTATACTTAGGAATAATGAGATTAAATCCTGGATTATTGATTTTTATTTATTTTTATGAATAGAATGTTGTTTTTTTTTTTTTTTTTTTTTTTTTTTTTATAGTAGTATGCCAATCAGGGTGAACTAAGCATTTGGCTAGTGATATATTATCACTCACAGATTCATTTATTTCTATTGTATAAGCATCATTTTTTTTTTTATTATTATTATTAATAAATAGATATGATAATCAAAAAGTTATATGCTAAGATATGGATTAAAAGAAGAAGTATATGAAGATTTCAATATATGGTGCAAATTGGCATGACCATGTACAATCCATTCTATAAGCTTAGAACATAGGTTTTATAGTTTTAGGTCATTTATATTTATAATATATACAAAAATTAGTCAAAACATAATATTTTGTAACCACAATATAAAAATATTCTTATATAAATTACATACTTTATTTTCTAGTATACAATTATTTAAACGTTGATTTATGTATATGTATATATATATGTATATATTTTATAATTTGAAAAGCCTTATGTCTCCTAAACAAAACACTTATTAAAATTTTAAATATATCACTAGAATCACAAGTATTAAAAATAGATGGAGGATTCAACTCAAAACTTAAAAAAGATAGTAAAAAAATATCAACAAAACAAATACAATGTTTCAGACCTTTTATTAAAAAATAAAAAATGAAAAATTATAGAAAATTCTAAATCCATCATTCAATTTATAGATTCTAAAAATAAGAAATAACTTAAATAAAAAATTACAAAGAAATAATTGTTTACAAAGGCAATTAAAAAACCAAAATAGTTAAACCCTCAATATCTATAAATCTAAAATTTAAAGGATTTTTTTATTTTATTTTTTTATTTTTTAATTTCAACTTTAATTTTTTTTAGCACTACCTAAGTTGTTATCTTTAAACCTAGTGACTTTAATTGAATAGTTAATTTACTTACTTAAATATTGTTTTTTGTATTTATTTTAAAATCAAGATTGGTCTTTATTCAAAATCACTTATATATGTCTTATATGTTAGTCATACCAATTGGATTTAATTTCTTTTTATTAAAAGTAAATTATTTATGGTGATATTTGAATTAGTTATTTTTAAATATTTAATAAAATTTTATTTTAGCACTTAAAATCCTTTATATTTGATGATAATTTTTTACATCATGTCTATGCTTATTGTTAAAAATTGTCTGGTTAACTTTGCAAGTTATACCAATCAAGCAAGTTGCATTAAAATTACAAATACTTAACCAAATTTGCATATAATATTATTTTTTTTGAATTAATTTAGAAATTTTATCTTTTTTTTTTTTTTTTTTTATTACTTAGACTCTTCTTTGTTTTCTTTTTTTTTTAAAACAAATTCTTCCAACTCTAAAATGATAGAATCACAACAACATATTTTTATTTTTTTATTTACATATTTTTTTTGTAAAAAAATAGCATCCTCCTAATATTTTGTTATTACTTAATATTAGGAGGATGTTTTTGATATAATTATTTTTAGAAAGTTTATTTATTTTATTTTAAGTATTATCTATTATCATGTCTATTACTTAAACATCTAAATATTATATCTTCTTTTAATAATAAATTTAATTCTAAAGCTGGATTTATATTTTTTTTAATCTCTTAGTTTAGAAATTTCTTAAAATATTTCTTGTAGTTTTAGTTCTATCAATTAGATTGATTTAGGTCGCAACAATCATGCAGAATACCTTTTTTGTCTCAATGTAGTTGAAAATTATTCTTCACAAGCTTCATAAAGAACTTTTCTTTTGTTTTCAAAAAAAACAACTTAATATTTTTAGAAACTATAATAAAATATAAAAAAATTCAAGGACATTCATACAACAAGTTATAATTTGGTTAAATGAAGAAAATTAGTATCCTTTTCAATTTAATTTGGATAATATTTCAATAATTATTGATATTAATAATTATTATTTTTTTAATTATTCATTATGAAAAATTCATGTAAATTGAGTATACATTGAAGTTAATTGGTCAAACATGTCTAAAACAATTTCATAGTAAATGTTAAACATAGTTAAGATAATAAATCATCACTCATGTACAAAAATCATTTATAGAATTCTTCAATCTTTCTATTTAATTTTTTCTTTATTTTTCAATAGCAATATATATCTTCTTGTATGTCTTCTTTTCTAGCTTTTGGAAAGTGATATAAAGTACTACTTGAAATAAGAATTTTTATAATTCTTATTTTCTATTTTTTTAATGTAATCCAAAATATATTTATAATCTCTTCTTTATTAGTCTTTTTATTTAAAAAGTATTATTCATGAACATAATGATGAAAAATAAAATATGAAATCATAAACAAAATAAATAATCATTAAACATAAACTTGCACATTAAAAATCTTTTATTAGAATTTTTATAAAATTTCTTGAAAAAAGCTAAAATATGAAATATACTATGTTATAAAGAAACAACCTCTATTCTCTCTACCAAAAGATGGCTTTAAAGACTATCCTAAATTTCCATCTTTTCTCTTAGAACGTTTACAAGAGAAGAAAGAAGACAAAAGATGAAGTGTTCTAAATAGCAAGCAAGTCTCTTATGATGCATTTGTAATTAAGTAAAGATAATATAAGACATAACTATAAACTATGAAAAGAAATGTTTGGATTAGAATTCTCTTTAAATATCTCATAAGATATCACCTTTTCAAGTTTTTTTTATTTTTTTTTATTTTTTATTTTATTAAATTTATCCAAATTTAAATTGATAGGTAGTATGTTAAAACATGTGGAGCATACTTAGGTAAAAAACAAGGCATTGATAATCCATATTTTTTGGTTTAATAATATTAGATGTTTCACATTAGTGTTAAAAAAAACTTAGTATTGTGTGTAATTCATGTTTGGTATTAATGTCCATTTAGAGTACTTTGCAAAATCTTATCTTAGATGTTCTTCATCTGCCTTATTCTCAAGTCAACTATTTTTTAGATTTATCTTTTTCTAGTTTTTCTCTTCCACAAGTTTGTGATGTTTGGGATTTATTGATTAATGGATTTCAGGTATTTTCTATATTTATTAAGATTTTTATGTAAAACTTTTACCAAAGGTGCATTTGTTGTGCTGGATATATTGATTACAACTTTAAAGCATTTTTAAGTGTTTTCTTATTTGATCCGTTCAATACTGTAGGCTTTTCAAGACAATTCTTATTCAATCAAGTATGTCTTCTTTTGTGGTCTACATCTTTCACATCCATCAGTTTTATTTTGTGTTGCAATATACTCCTTGCAAGTCACTTAATTATATATGTTTACTTGTATTAACCTTTATAAGTACTATTCTTTTTAATTTTTTCACCTCTTCTTTTGACAAATTGAGAAGAATATTACTAAAAAAATATTTAGATCCACAATTTTCACATCAACTTTTCTATCTTGTTTTAATGTTTTAGATACAAAATGCATTCTAATATTTTAATTAAGTTACAAGCATATGCTTAGGACATTGCATGCATTGTCCTTAGAATTTATGTTTCATTATATTCACTAAATATTAATATGTAATTGCAAGCTCTTAGTATTAAACAACTGTTACAATTAGATCAAAGTTGATTTTGTGGTACCACACAACCTAATATAAACATGATTGTCAATTAGTCAACTAGTGAAGTCTACCTTCCTTCCTTCCTTCGTAGGATATTTTACCCAAATTAACATAGCTTGCATTTCTGTGACTATCCAAATTGTACTTATGCTACACAAAAGATCTTATTTTGCTTAAGAGAGATTTCTATTGAATGCATTTGGCTACGCGTTGTTCTGTGTCCTCAGTGGTACATGTTTTTACAGTCGAAGTCCTTGCTTGTGCAGTTCAGAAGCCTTCCAGATCAGAAAAACACAAATCTGTGTGCCGCTTACCGCTCACCACATAACGAATGGAGCAAAGTACTTCAAAATAGTTCTCAAATGTTGCTTACCATACTTTCCTAGCGTTTTTTCCAAGTCCCCTGCAAATGTGGTGCTAAAAGCAGGTACGTCACTCGTGTGCAGCATCACCTATCGTGATGACGGAACTGGCTGTTGAAGAAAACAGTTCATGGTATACATGCAAGAGCTGAAAGTGCGTAAAAATCTGTGTATCTATCAATCCCCCAAAAAATATCACTGGGTTGCTGCATCTTAATTAAAGCTCGTTTGAAACGAACTACTCTGTTTAAACTACTGCTTCACGTGTCACCACCGAACATGTCCTCCACGGCTCCTTTCCCTCCAAGCTCTTCCTCAGCAGCTCTTTTCATAACAAGTGCAGCTCTTACAACATTACCTCTGGTTAGAAGTCCGACCTGTGGCATCAATGCAACAAGCACTTCATCACTGATGTAAAACTAAGTGCTCTATACATTCTGCCAACTGGGTTGAACTGAACACATGAGGCAACGGTTTAGTGATCCTATTGAATTTGGATCAACTTATATTTACCAAGACTCCTGAAAATGAGAAAGTCAACCAGAGGTTCAAGAATCCTTAGTCCAGGACAAACCTGAAGAATCTCAAATACACCTATCTGCAAATGAATTGTAAGGTCCAATGCCAATTCCACCTTTTCTAGACATGTCACTCGGAAGTCATGAACTTTACATAGATTCAGAAATCGGGGACTCACCAATTTTCCATCATCACCAACAACTGGCAAGCGCCTAAACTTGGTATCAAGCAAAACCCTGCATTTCACATCGTAATAAAAATATGCTTTAGAAACCTCAGCACCCTCACACGGATTCCATGAAAGCCTACAATGTTATGTAGGCAAAGAAAGGAGCAATCATACCAGTGCCGCATCGCGCGAGAGCCAGCGAACGTACCTTGCTGCATCTTCAAGGTTGGTCTGCTCGCTAACAACAAGCGGTGATGGGGTCATCACATCTCCTACGGTCTTTCCATTAGTTTTAATCAACAGCTTCTGGATCTCCTTAAAAGCCTAAGGAAGCACAATCCTCATGTAAGTTGAATACATTGATCCGAGATCTTTCCTGGTACATTGTATACAATCGGTAAAGCCGTGGTAATATTTGTGAGGAGGTGAATGAAAAAAGGCTTTGCAGAACTAACCTTCCATGTCCTGCCAGCTTCTGGAAATAAGCTAGTTTCAGGTTGTCTTTGTCCTGCCAACCAAAGTATGTCCAGTCAATAAAGCGCTTACTAGAATCTGGGAGGATGCATCCCAGAACATCCATCTGAACAACCGAAGTATAATTTAAACAACAGTAATGTGACCAAAATGACTAGAACCACCCACTAGTTGATCACGTACAGATTTACCATGGCTAGATCGAATGTATCACATCAAACCAGTGTACTTCTGCGAAACTTTAACTGAGTCAGTCTGTTGGAAACCTGATATTGAGTCCAGCGCCAACAAGTCGTAATCGGAGACAACCCCCACCTACGAGCAACAAAATTGAAAAGGATTTAATCGGGACATATACAATTTAATAACAAGCCGTTAACTAAACATGCAAACCAAGATAGTACTACCCATGAAACTCCTTCCACGAATACAAAGACACGAAGACAATAAGCGGGAGTTGATAATTTAGCACCATACTGAAGTCACTCAACCGAACGTTGCAATTTGTACGCGCCAAATAATGCGCAGAAGCAACCTTAATTGATGTTGAGAACTATGCAGATTTAAGAACGAATCTAAAAGTTTGGGAAGCTCAAAAAAAGTGAAAGCTTAGTCACGCCGACGCAACAATCAGGTTGATGGTGTTTCACCGTACCAACGCTCCAAAATCATCAATCACGGGCATGCCAGTGATTCGCTTTTCAACAAGCACTTCCAATGCTGCCCAGAGCGCGTTATGAAAGTGTTAGAAAGGGTTCATACATACGACATCCAAAAGTAGGTAAGAGAACTCCTCACAAGCATAGCATCTTGCAACGTGTGAGATGTCGATTGTTATTTTCTCAATCTATTAAATCTTTGAACATAAGAAAGCATGAAGAACGCTCTGCAAAATAAAAGAGTGACGCTCCATACCTTCATCAATAGTAGTGTTCACTGTTGCACAATACAATTCTGAAACAGGAGTCATGTAATCTCCCACGGTGTATGTTTCTTGCTTTTGCTGCACAGCGTATCAGGTTCTTGGTAAGCAACGTTCTGAACTTTTGACCTGATCCACTCTGATCAAAATCGATAATGCAACAGCGTCACAAACAATAAATCTACCACAGGAAAATAACGTCAACCGCGCTGTATAGTAATCCCAAGGTTTCGAAGTAGCTACCCAACTTGGGATGACACTTAGACCCCAAAACGACCTGCTGCACCTAGAGATCGAGAACGTAACCCTACTTCGAAAGAAATCGTAAAATTTGTTTAGGTAAAAACTAAAGCTAAGTTCTAATGCAAATGCCAAAAACCTGAACAAATGCTTAAAATTATCCATAATTCAAGTAAAATTTTCCAGTGTACAGGGTAGCTCCGGTTAACGACAAAGAAGATAAACATGAGCCTCACTCTAATATGTCCTTGAGCCAAAAGTCGGATATAAGAAGTGTAACAATGTCCTGAGTTTAGACCCATTACTGCGAAATACAGTCTTCTTTCAAGAAAGTAATCAAAAAACGTATGGCAACCTCGTCGGATGGACCTCATTTCTTTGAGTACTAAAAATCATTTTCAACCACCAAAGCACCACCAGGTCCGACGCAAGATTCAGCAAAATTTCGCTCTAAGCATTCCGTGTATGCAGTGAGTTCACATCTAAGAATTTTAAAAAATATAATAATAATCTCGAAGATGGAAAAAAACGCTTTAAATTCCTATCATGTAAAATACCAAACACGAAATCTTGATTATCACCCCCAAACAAGCTGCCTTCGACGGTCAAATTCGTTGTGTCGAAATGAGCTGAAAACAAAAATTAAAATAAAAGAAAATAAGTGTTATCAAGCAACTTCCCAAGAGGGTATGATGTTGTCAACAACAACACACATTCTTGTCATTTGATATCCTACGAATGCAGAGTTCAGCATAAAAATCTTCCGCAAAAATCATGCAAACCGCGAGAGAGGGAGGAAAAAAAAAAAAAAAAAAAAAAGGAAAAAAAAAAAGGAAAAAAAAAAAAGCCACAACTACCTGAAGTACTGAGAGACAGCTTGACGGGAGGCTAGAAATTGACAAACTGACGCAATTACGTAAACCTAAATGCATCATGGCAAGAGAAACCAACGTACAGGAGTAGGGTTTTCCGTCATCGTACTCCGCGGCAACGGAAAGCTAGATCCCCTAGACCATACATGAACCGGCACGGGAACCACCGAAGTGCCTGCCACATTAGATGCGCTCTTCCGGTTCGACACAAGCACCAGCTGCGGTCTCGCGGTCGACGAGGTGCAAGAACCCGCGTCCTTTCGTCCCACAGTAGCTGCCAACCCCACTCCCGTACTCGAGGCCACCAACAAAGCCGCCATTTGTTCTCCTCCGAACAACAAATCCACGAACTCAAACTAACAATTCAGCCACACAACAATATATATATATATATGGTACGAAAAAAATATCAGCTTCTGCGTGCAACAATGAAATCTACAGCAGTGTTGATTGTGAAAAAATCATGTTCTCTCTATCTCTCGCGATAACCACTCGACTACATCGCGGAGCCTAACGACAGCCAACTTGCAAAGGAGCTCTGCTTCATGACAGCCAGTACTCTTGTTTATTTCACCAAGTGGATCGGCTTTTCCTCCTAGATATCTCCAATCCAGGGTATCACAACCTAGGTTTCGTGACGAGGTATCAGGACAAGCCGACTCCTTTCCAATTTGGCCGGGTATGGTATCCCGTCAGGTTCTCTTCCTCCGACTCGAATGGACGAGTTGTCAACCCTTCCTAGCTCTGATCCTTCCCGGTTATCAACCTAATCGTCATTATCGAAATCAAAGTAAAAGCTAAATTATGTCAAAAGCAAAAGGTTCATTCTTAAACTTAATACTGCTACTACTACTCCGTGTTAAACTTGCCTTCTCCACCCATCCTTTACTTTATGGCCATTGATGGATACACAATAGATTTTATACATATCTCAATTCTCTTAAACACAAAAATCCATTATTCATCATGAGTCTCCATTTAGAATTTTTGAAGTAGAAATATATAATCTAACTAATGTGAGAGTGTAGTTTCCAACTTATAGATAGCAATGTGATAGATGGATAGAAATTGGCTACTAAAAATTAATCTTTAGACTAAGCACAAGGAATTCTAAATTTTAAAAATTAATGTTCATTGTAATAGGAAGATCAAACTAGCTCAAAAAAATTCTAATTTGCCTACTTCATTTTGTAATCCATAAGTTAGGATTGATAAATATGATGTGAAGGAAGTTATCTAATATTAAGAATAATCCAAGATAAAATAGAGTATCTTGAATAAGTCAAAAAAAAATTTATTATTGGTCCAATCAAAATTAGAATTCTTTTAAGATGAAGAAAAATACACTCACAGTATTATAAAGATTTTTAAGGTTAAGTCCATATTTTAAAGAATAGAACTATTGGTGAAGAAGAAGAATTCTACTTCTTACTCTCATAATATTTGTTGTCTTGATAAAAGTCATAATAGAATCTTTGCCTCCATCAAATGATAATTTGCTAGGTAGTATTCAACTTTTGGCCAATTATAGGGCTAAGTTTGTAAATTCTAAGAGTAAAAAGCTTCATAGAGTAAATTCTATAATCTTTGAATGTTAAAAAGAGATTAAATTCACAATTAATATATGTCTAAGCTTGTTGACAAAATATTATAACAAGTGATATCAAGCTTTGTTAAGCAAAGACATAACAATGCTTGTCTCATCTTTTGAAATCACTTTCTTATTCTTGTACTTTTCTTTTCTTTAATTTTCATAAGATGAGAAAAAGATGCAGCTAATCTATTATATATCATAGCCAAGAATTATAGGATAAATTAGAATATATGATTAATAAGAATTCAATAAAAGAAGTAGTCTACATTGAATTGGTATGGACTAATCGATTTGCTTAGTTTAGTGAAGACTTCAAAGTGGAAGTAGAAATACATAAAGCTTATGATAGCATGTCTAGATGGTGATGGTAGTATCAAATTGTAACAATAAGAACTAAAGTATTATTTGTTTTTTTATTCCTAACTTTGTAATTATTAAATACTTAGATATTGAAAAGATGGATAGGTGGTCAATAGTCAATGTTGTATTGCTACCAAAGTTTTGGATGATTTGTTCAATTCATGTTTTTAGTGTATGTTATATAGATTTGAATGGTATTTTGACGTTGGAGCAAATTTAAAAGTTAGAAGAAGAAATGAGAGAATAGCAGTGGAACCATAAGGTTGTGTCTTTGAATGGTGGTGTAAAGATTGGAGTATAAAGAGATTAGAAATTTTAGAATTATATTGTTTAAGGATCTATAGAGGTCAAATTAGCATGTTTCTCTAAAGGATTTTAGAACTATCCTTGTTAAGATTATCTAACATTACAATCTTGCATTCAATACACTATTGGCTTACAAAAAATAATGTTACTTGTGTATATCTTTTTTTTCCAAAAAAGATATTGGATGCAAGTATAGTAGTTAAAATAGCCATTTATAACCAAATTCTATTTCTTTCATCTTAAAAACATAAAATTTGATCTTTGGTAAGTCAAGAATTATGAGTGTATATTTTCTTGAATCAAATATGGATATTAAATGAAATCTAATATCCCTTGCAAGTTCTACTTGTGGAGTATTCTTTGCCAAATAGAATAGAAGAAAAGAAGAAAAAAGAAGGCATAGAATTAGATAATAGTACAGTTCAACTAATAATTAATTATTGCAATCAATTGAAAACATTAATTTCACTAAAAAAATGATTGTTTGGTGGATTCAATTCAAGGTCCATCTTTTTTTATAGGAAGAAATTGTTTGACAAATGAAGGTGAGTGGATTTATTTATAATGTGTTGATTGACTTCTAAGATTTACACACTTTTGTTGTACTTTTGTATTATTGGACTTTTTGTATAGTTTGAGATACTTACTAAGAAGCATTGATTTTAAGTGACTTCATTAATAGGAACACTTTTATAGTATACAAATTTTTATATTTTTTATTATATTACAAAAAATAAATTTAAAGATGAACTAAATATAAATCATTGCAGATTCAATGCCCAACTATTTACAATGTAATAATTTGATTGTGAGGCCTAAGCCTTCAAGTATGGTTATTAGATTGAAAGAGATTCATGATAATTTTTTGTAAAAATTATTTGTTAAATTTTTTTTGACTTTATTTTTTTATCAATCAAAAGCACCTTAATTATTCCATGGCTATGGAAAATAGTACATCAATCTCTGAGAGCAATATTTTAAAGTTTAAACCATCAAATCTCTTATATCCTAAATTAAAAGGATGTCATGTATCAAAGATATGAATCAAAATAAGATGAACCTTAAAACACTCTTATATAACTCAAAAAGAATAAATACTCACTTCAAAAATAATATAATATTAAGACTAGAATGACTATTGCCAAAAACAAAAAAAAATATAGATTCTTGAAACTTTCTTTATTCTTGTCATTACCTTTCTTAATAAAATAAGAAAGGTAATGACAAGAATAAAGAAAGTTTCATTCTTGTCTCCATATATACTATCTAATCATGAATTATGTAACAATATTCTATAAAATCTCTCATATGTGTCCAATTATGAGATATATATATCTTAACTTACAAGGTTAATTTCCTATGTTTATGCTACATAATTAGCTTATTCTACAAGCTATCAATAGGTTGTTGTGATGTAAGATAACTAATAGGTAAAAGAGTGAAGAAAATTTTATATTTTAGAAGATCTTATTTCAAAATATTATAACAAATTATCTTAGAAATTTAGATAATAGTCAAAAGATAATAAATTAAAAGTATAAATATTACCTTTTTATAAGATAAACTTTTACTTATTTTATAGGACCATAATTAAGAAAAAATGAGGTAGATTAAAAAAGTAAAGAATACATGCATAAGTAAGAGAGAATTAAGAGTTGATTTTAGCAAAAAATAGCTTAAGAAGAAAAAAATTAATACCCGGAGAGGACTAATTGTCAACTTGGATCAAAATTAGACTCCAAGGCATAAAACTCCACACCTACAATGACTCCAAAGTTTTTTTTTCAAATCAAAGAGTGGAATTTGGAAGAAAACTTTATAATTTTTTTTATAGTATTGGTTTTAATTGATTTGAATTTTTAATGTCTTTATAAGAATTTTACTAAGTTGAAATAGTTATGGATGATTCTAGATTTTGTGAAATAAAATAGAGTTTATAATTTGAGAAATTTTGTGAGTTTTGAAAAAGATCTACATATGAAATTTTGTAGAATTGTGAATATAATTGTACTAAATTTATATTATGAGTTTAAGCATAATCAAAAAATTGAATTAGAGGCTATTAAAATTCAATTAGATTAGGATCTTTGAAATTGGATTTTTAGGTCTAATAAAGTCATCTAAGATTTGCAAATTTTTTTAAATTAGATTGAAGTTATTTTCATCAAAATTAATAGTTTATTTTACTTCTAATACTTATGCAAAATTTAAGAGAAAATTAATGGTTCAATTAAAAATTATTACTACTAAAAAATCAACATTAAGGTCAAAGATAGGGGCCGGAAAATACCCAAGTGGATTATGATGTTTTTTTCTTATTTTGTTAGTTCAATTTTCTTCAAATTTTTTGTGTTTGTTGTTAATTAAGAAATTGAGAAGTATGTAAAATTTTAAGCACGATCAATAGTTTAATCAGTAGATATTAAGGTTTTAAGACTACTTTAGGATTGATAGAAATTGATTAGGTTTTGATTAGGATTTAATTAGAAATTGATTAAGATTTAGAATTTGATTAAGATTTGGTTTAGGATAAAAGATCTAATTAGAGTTGGTTTAGGTTTTAGAATTATTTTAGGATTTTTTTAAGATTCTTGTGGATTTCTTTAGATTTTTTTAGTATTTTTTAAAGATTTTTTTTTTTTTTTCTTATGATTTCTTAAAAAGTTCTTTAGGATTTTTTTCTATATTCTTTTATAAATTATTTGAAAATTTAATTGAATTTTATCAATGTTTGATTATATTTTTAAAGTTTTAATTTTTATTTTTATATGATTCTATTAGAATTGTTAAGAGTTGTTGTTACAAATTTCTTTTACCTTCTAGAATCAAGTGTCCAGTATATTTTCAAGCGAGACTTCACATGATATAATATAAGTAGTGAATCCAACATGAAATTTTGGAGTAGAAGATGCTGGATTTTGTTCATTATTATTTAGATTTAATGGAAAAGAAAGGCAAGAAGGTAGAAGTTGGGATTTTGATTTGAGTTTCAAGTGGATCTACGAATAAAGCTTTTGATGGAACTTTAAGTAGATCTTCAAGGGGAGCTTTAGGTATATTTTCTATTGGAGGACAAGGTATGTACTTGAATCTAAATACAACAAATATATTTTGTACATTCTTATTATTTATGAAACAACAATAGAATAATGATCATAAAGAGGCTTTGGCAACCAAAGCATTACAAGCAGTAGTTAAGCAAAATTGACTAGTTTTATAAGAAGAATATTTCTAAATATTTGAAATGTTATGTAAAAAAAATCGAATTAAATTTTATTTTTGAAAAAGA